TCTTTCTCTCCCTTACATATGGAAAATATCCACCCCAGGGTGGGTGTAGCTCTCACACCCATAATCAATCAAACTCTAAAAGCCTGCCCCATGGCTGCATGAGGCTTTGGGGGGACACACAGACACAAACCATAACATTCCACCCCTGGCCCCCCCAAAAATCATGCCCATCCCTTTATAGAGACAGCATTTAGTCCATCTGCAAGAGTTGCCAAAGTCCTAACAGTTGCAGCATTGCTGAAAAGTCCAAGTCCCAAGTCTCCTCCAAAATGTAAGGCAAACTCTTAGCTGTGACCCCCCGCCCCATACAAATGAAAAGTTAAACACTTCCAACATTCAATGGCACAAAATAAGCAGTACCATTCCAAAAGGTACAAACAGGGGGACACAGAGCATTGAGACCAAAGCAAGTCCAAAATCCAGCAGGGCTAACGTAATGTCCTGTAATTCCACATGCGGCATCTGAAGCAACTTGTGGCACATTGTAAGCTCCAAAGGGCTTGCAAGAGTCCACCCCTACAGCATTTCTGGTAGTTACAGCTTCCATGACTTCTCTCTTAGGCCCGCTTTGCTCCCTCCTTGCAGCTTTCCTTAGAGGATCCACGGTCCTGGCTTTTCTAAACTGAGTTCTCCAGGGTACCTTTTGCTCCACACTCACAGCCTCACACACTGCCCTCTCAGGGGCACACTGCCTGGCCTCCCAGGCCTTCTGAAATCTGGGTGGAAGCCTCTTTAACATCAGGACTCTTGCATTCTCCATGCACCTAAAGCCAGGGCCACGTGGATGATGCCAAGGTCTGCTGCCACCTGGAGCAGTAGCCAAATTTTCCTCTCTCTTGGCCATAGGGGTTGAGTGCCTGGATCACTGGGCACTCTGAATCCAGTTCTGAGGAACAGATCCTCTATGCTGCCCCCATTCTGGAATCTGGTGTGGCTGCCACCGCCATCCTGGAACATGGCACTCAGCAGCTTTCTTCTCAAAGCAAGGTCTTTCACTTTTGCAGTTTTGAGGCTGCAAAGGGTGGAGACTTGCAGCTTCTTGTGATGCCCTCAGGTCATCTTTTTCTCTTGTTCCTTCTCAGCAATAGAGATCTCCTCAGCCTTATCTTTGCAGTCCACAGCATTACTGGAGCTTCCTTTCTGGCCAAACTCACATTTTAAATCATCCTGCTGGGCTCTTTGCTCTTGATTTTCAATATAAATCTGGCTAAAAGCCCCCAAAATAGCCATGCCACTTCCCCAACATTTGACTGCCTTGAAATTTCTTTTGCCAGATTAACCAGTCTGCTGCCACCCTTAATCTCAGTCTTAGGCAAAGTCTCTGGACACGAGCAAAATGCAGACAAACTTTCTGCCAAGCCATAACACACATCATCTGGAGTCCAACAACCAATGCAGTCCTTCTTCCCAGCAGAAACCTCCTGAACCTGGTCTTTATAGGCACGATTTCTATCAGCCTTCTGGGCTTCGGAGCTCTGACTAGAATCTCCCAGACAGAACAGCCGAAGGTGTTCTAGTGCTTCTCTTTCAGGTGACATCTCTGAACCTTTCCGAACACTTCCCACAAGCCATTTCCCAAGGCTCTTGAACCACACGGTCAGGTATAGTCACAGCAATGACCCCACTTCTCTCAGTACCAAATTCTGTCTTGGTTACTTTTCTCTCATTGCTGGGACAAAATACCTGACACCCAAAATTAAGGAAGGAAAAGTTTATTTTGCTTACATTTTGTGGAGGTTTCAGTCCATACTTGGCAAGTTACAAGGCAGAGTGGCACATGGCAGAGGGCTACAGCTCATGGTGACAGAACACAGCCAAAGCAACAAGCCATGGTGGAATGGCCTCAAGCACCCTCTTCCTCTCCCTTACATATGCAAACTATCCACCCCAGTGTGGGTGTAGCTCTCACATCCATAATCAATCAAACTCTAAAAGCCTGCCCCATGGCCACATGAGGATTTGGGGGGACACACAGACACAAACCATAACACAATTTTTCTTTATGATGCCACCCTGTCCCAATTGTAACACAACGATGCCCTATTATGGCATCCCAGTGCTCAGTTGTGACAACACGATGACATATCGTGACCTCACAATGCCCAAGTGAAACAGTACAGTTCCCCATTATGAACTCACAATTTCTCCATTATGCCCTCACATTCCCACAATTATAGACACAATAATCATTTATGGCATCACACTGTAATATCACAGTACCACATTATCATATCATAATATCCTCTTGAGACAGTAGAATGTCATATTTTGACCTCACATGCTCTATTCTGACATGCTGACACCCCATCATGATGTCACAATTCCCCATTAGGACCTCACCATTTCCCCTTATGACATCACATTTGCCCATGGTGACATCTCCCAAGTCCAGAAGGACAAGATGATGCCCCATGATAATATCACAATGCCCCATTATGACTTCACAAAATTGTCTTTGATGCCATATTGAAGGGTTGTGATCTCACAATATCCACACTGTGGGTATACATAGCTGGGATGATGCTTGTCAAATTTTTCTGCAACACGGTGAACAAGCATATTGGTCAGTCAATAGTTAGCACAGGAGTGTTATATTGACATAACAGGTTTAAAAAATTTGGTGTGGAGGCCTGCTGATATTAAAAAAGTGTAAGAGAGAGAGAGTGAGATAGGCTTAGCAGAAACCAAAGAGTTACACACTTAGGAGAAGCCAAAAAGGAAAAACGTATATTGAATTACTAGTAGTTAAAAATGGCTGATGCAGGAGGATTGTTGTATGTTGAAGTCCAGCTTGGGCTGCAAAGTGAGCTCAAAGGCAACTGGAACTGTGCAGTGAGACCCTGTCACAAAAAGACAGAAAAATGAATAAATACATGAATAAGTAAATAAATAAATAAAGGGGCAAGCAGAGTCTCAAGGACCACAGATGATTATAGATGAACATACGTGTATATAAAAGGTTTGTAATTTCATTGGTTCCTGTATTTACCTTACTTTTGAAGATCACCACAAGGGACTTAGAGTGGAGTACTATTTTAAAATCAGTTTGTGCACAGGAAAATGTTACACCCATAGAGTTTAAACCTTCTAGGAGCTCACCCATCCCCAATATGACATGACAATTTTCCTGCATGACATCTCAAAAGACATGGAGACATCACAGGGGCTCATCACACCACCAGAGTGCACCAATTATAACATCACAAAGCCCCATAATGACATCAAAATTTTCCTTTAAGGTGGCACAGTGCTCCAATTATAATATCATGATGCCCTATTATGGCATCACAGTGGTGTACTGTGATGCTATAATGACATGTTGTGACCTCAAAATGCACAGTTGGAACAGCACTATTCTCCATTATGCCCTCACAATTCCTCCATTATGACCTCACGTTACCACAATTATGCCAACATAGTCAACCTTTATGACATCACAATGGCACAATATGACATCACATTACCACAATCTCATATCACAATATCCCTTTGTGACATTATAATGCCCTACTGTGACCTCACATGCCCTATGGTGACTTGCTGACAATACATTATGACATCACGATCCCACATTATGACCTCAATGTTTCCCCTTATGACATCACAATTGCCCATGGTGACATCACAGGGGCCAATTAGAACACAATGGTACCCGAATTATAACATTATGAAGCCACATTATGGCATCACAGTGCTCTGTGATGATGCCATAATGACATGTTGTGACCACACAGTGCCCACTTGGAAAAGCACAGTTCCCCATTATTACCTCACAATTCCTCCATTATGACCTCACATTGCCACAAGTATAGCACCACAATCAACCTTTATGACATCACATTTGCACATTTTAACATTACATTACTACATTACCATACCACAATATCTCATTGTGACATTATAGTGCCCTATTGTGACCTCACAGGTCCTTTTGTGTCATGGTGACACCCAATCATGACATTGCAATTCCCAATAACAAATGCTGTGGGGAAAAAGTAACCCTTCTCCACTGTTTAGTGGAGTGAAGACTGGTACAAGCACTGTGGAAATCAGTGTGGAGATTCCTCAAATAACTGAGATGAGAGGTCCCATTCCACCCAGCTATTCCCCTTCTTGGAATCTTCCCAGAAGAATTAAAAACATCATACCACAGTGATATATGTGCACCTATATTCATAGCATCACAATTTGTAATAACTAAATCTTGGAAACAACACAAATGCCCATAAACCAAGGAATGGATAAACAAGGAATGGATAAACGGTCTGGTACTTTATACAATGGAGTACTACTCAGTCATAAGGAAAGATAATCTTGAATCTTTTTTAGGCAATGGGTGCAATTTGAGACCATACACATAGGTGAAATAAATCAACCTTTCATGGATAAACATCATATTGTCTCCCTAGTGTGAGAACTTGAAAGAGTAAATAAGGTCTAAAATTTGAATAGATATTGTGAAATGGGAAGAAATTGTTCAATAGGAAAAAGGAACTAGGATGGGTGAAAGGGAAAAGGACAGTAGGGAAAAGGGAAATAATAGAAGTGAGTTCTACTATTGGTGTCTCTTAGTTCATTAAAAAGAATGTTTGTGCCTATTTTGACTGTATAAATTTTTATGTCCATTTCTTGTACCCTGAGCAACTACTTTGAAGATGACAACATGTAGTGTATTAGCTATTGTTATGCCCTTATTTTGTTATGAAATTTTGTTTTATATTTTTTCATAAAATAAAAAAAGAAAAATACAATGAATAAAAATGCTATAAAATAACTTAACTTTTGTGAATAGTCTTTATTTTTTAATCATTTATCTGATTATTATGGCTTCTTAAATTCTTGTTTTCATATATCTACTTAAATCTATACTTTGTTGTTTTTGCGTTGTTATAATGGAGCAGATTTTTGCAACTCCCTAGCCTGCTAGCTTGCTAATATCACTGCACAGTTGTATTTCTTTCTCATCATGTTTGTATATTTTCATATTATTATTTTGAAAGGTTGTGGATCACCTTGAGACTATCCTTGGAGCTTCAGTTCAACATGTTAAGCTGAAGCAAATGAAATACTCTTTTCAGTTGTGGATCACAATGATGTCAGCAACAACACCTGATGGGAAGGTATGTGCCTTACTTTCTTTATTCTCTTCCTTCTTTTCTTAGGTTTTCATTGAGTTTCATTTGTGAGCCACATGTTATCACCATTGCTATAAACACAAGGAAAATAAAGAAGTATTTAAAGAGAGCATTTTGCGGAGTTACGCTGTTAAGAGCATATATGTATGTGCAATTGGAGGCAGGGTCTATTCTTCTATGGAAGCCAGGGCAGGTTTCTTGTGGAGGAGTGCACCAAATTGTTAATGATTTAGAGAACTGAATCTTTTAGGAGATTTGATAATGTATGTTCTCAGGGGAACACAAGGCATGGAGAACTCAAAGTATGGAAGAGGAAAACTGTGTGTAAAATTAATCTCCTGTGCTATATGCTAGATTGATAGCATTTAACATTCAATATAATATAAAATGATTAAGTAATCCTAGTTATAATGGTCTAAGGTAAGCTTCTCCATGAGAGTTTTTCTATGGGTAAGACATCTTTGTTTATATGCCTTTCTTCTGTATGTTTCCCCTTCTTGTTTATATCTGCTAAGTTTGAAGGCTGATTCAGGTACTTGTAGAAGAAAATGCCTTATACCATACTTTATAGAAGTATGGCAGAAAATGCCTTATAAGTATATAAGTATATTTTCTTATAATAGTATATTTTAAAGTATATATCTGTATAATTTAAGTATATAAGTATATATAAATTAAGTATATAAGTATAATTTAAGTATATATAAGTATATAAGAAAATATATTTTCTTATAAGAAAATGCCTTATAAGTATAGAAGAAAATGCTTTATACCATACTTCATTTATGTGTAATGAAAATTTTATGTACAAACATTTTTAATAAAAGAAGTTAAATTTGACTTTTTAAGAAGTATAAAATATTTTGTAGTGTTTTACTTATTTGCATATACTATCTATTAAGAAAGAATATGTCATATTGTGTCAGATGGAAATCCAAGATACAGGTCATACTATAATTTTGGTATCATAGGGAAGAAATTTTCCTGCTGCACAAGAGACATGTAAATTGAAGCTTTCACACCCAAGTTATAAGATTATTATGTAGATTAAGACTATTTCCACTGAACTGCCTGACATATAGTAGGAAGAACTCACATGACACTTTTTATCATAAGGAAGATAATACAAAATTATCAGTTCTATAAATGAATAATAAGTTTCCTTTATACAAATACCTTAGAAATAATCCAGAAGTTAATATAAATAAAAAAGCTGAGGATTTTTGACTCATAAATTTAAATTCATGGTCAATATGTGATTAAAGCTATATTAATAGTTAATAATAAAGCTCCCTCTGAATTCATTTCCAGGAGATATTTTCCTTTAATTTGGAGTGGCTTCATGTACATGCTGATTGATAAATAGACCTGAAGCATAAAATGCAAATTAATAATAAAGGGTAGAAAAGATTATTATTTTCTTACCTTGAATTATGATGCTTGACTCAGAATAAATGGCCATAACATTTTTTTATATTTTGATAACAATTAAATTGTTTGTACAATATCTGAAGATTTTAATATAATAAAAGTGTGAATGACACATTCTTACGCTAATGTACTTGACTTTTAATAACAGACATAGAATGAGATTTGTCCTTTTAAAGTGTACAATTCAGTGGCTTTTGATATATTCACAGAGGCGTGTAGCTATCATCACAATTTTAGTTAATTTTCATGACCATCCATAAAAGAAATTTCATATTCATTAGCAGTCAGTCCCCAGTCTCCTAGTCCCCCTTTCAGCCTTAATCAGTCAGTAGTCTATGTTTTGTTTCAATAGACTGACTTACTCTAGACACTTCACACAAATGGTATCACACATTAAGTGATATTTTATTATTGATCTTATGGCCAGAGATATAGCTCAGTGGCACAGCATCTGCCTGGCAAGTGCAAGGTCATGAGTTCAATTCCTGGCACCAAGAAAAAGATAATATTACTAATCTAGTTCACATTGCATAACTTTTTGAGAATTACCCATGTTGCATTATGCACTAATACTGTATTTCTTTTTGAGACTAAGTATTATTTCATAGTGTTGATATTTTAGTCTTTCATTCACCAATTGATTGGCATTTAGATGTTATGTGTAATGGTGTTCTGCAAATTCTTCTGTTTTATTGTGTTAATATGGTTAATATTGTGTTAATATGGTTTCAAGATTATATTCTATTTTTATTACTGTATATGAGTTGTATATATTAATGGGGTTTAGTGTGATTCATTGATCAACTTCAGCGTTTCTTCATCCATTGTTACCTTCTGTACTTCCCAAAACCTAAGAAACTCTAATCTATATTTAGGTCCTTCTATTAACAGAGAATAAAATTTTATTTTTAAAAGGATCTTAATCAGAATTATGAACACATGATATCAGCAGATATTATACAGAAAGGCTTACAACAAGGAAAAAAGTCATCAAAGAGAGGAGACAGAGAAGAAAATGAATTGCATTGTAAATCCATAACATTTCTCAAACAATAAAAAATCTGGTATTAATTGGTTATGAGAAATAGGAATTACTGCTGACTAATGATGATAGTGTGGATAATGTTTATTAAGATTTTTTATTGCTTAGTTTATTTTTTATTAGTACATCTTTAGAGTACATAATGATGACATTCATTATGGATGATGAATATATATATATATATATATATATATATATATATATATATACATAGTACACCTTTATTCCTTTTTGTTCTCATTTTCCTCTCCTCTCTCCAATCCTTCAATATTTTAAAAAAAGTATATTTCCAGTTTTCTTTCATTTTAAAAAATCCCTTTTCCCTCCCCTCCCCTATCTTTTGCTCACTTTCCCATTTGAGCAAGTTCTTTCTAATTTCTAATATCTCTCCCCGATATTTCTCTTTATTTATACTTAGAGGTTTTCATACAAGAGGACAATGTTATATTTAAACTTGTGTGCCAGATTTACTTCATTTAAGATTATGTTCTTCAGGTGCACGTGTTTACCTAAAAAATGCCTCAAGTTTATCCTTTATTGTCAGAGCAATACCCCACTGGATATAAATATGTTTTCTTTAATCATTTATCTCATGATGAGCATAGGGCCTGTTTCCAAGATTCAGCTACTATAAATTGTTCTGGTAGAAACATAGATATGCTATGCATATATCACTGTGGTAGGATGACGATATCTAGAAGGGAATAGCTTGATCAAATAGGACAGGTTTTTGAGGAAACTCTAGACTAATTGCCACAGTGATTATATCAATTTAGACTTGACAATTAAGAGGTGTTTGTTTTTCTTTACATCTTTGAAAACATTTTTTATTAGTTGATTTCTTAATTATAACCATTCTTTCTGGAGAGAGATAGAATCTCAATTTGTTTTAATTTGCATATTTTAAGTGGCCGGTAATATCGGGCAGTTTTTCAAGTACTTATGGGCTATTTATACTTTATCATCTGAGATGTGTCTATTCATTTTGTGTGCCTGTTATTTAAATTTGAGGTGGTCTAATTTTTCTGAGTCCTTCATATATTCCTGACAATACTCCTCAATCAGAGGACCAGCAGAAACAAACATTATTCCCATTCTCTAGGTGCTGTCTTTATTCTCATGGTGGTTTCCTTGCTGTGCAAAAGTTTTCTTAATTTGATGGGATCTCATTTGTTGATTCTATGTAATATTTCACCCAGCCAGGTTTTTGTTCACATAGTCTTTGCCTACACTTATGTCTTCAAGAGTTTTGCGTAATCTATCTTCCAGAAGATTGTCTTTGTTTCAGTAATTAATTATTGTATCCATTTCAATTTTAATTTAGTACATGGGGAGAGACATGGGCCCTTGTTCAGTCTTCAGCATGTGAGGACTCAATTTTCCCAGTATCATTTATTGACGAGAATATCTTTACTCTAGCAAAGGAATTTGCTCCTTTTTCAAAGGTAACTTAACTGAGTGGGCATCAGATTGTTTCTGCATCCTCTATTCTGTTCCAGTGATCCACAGATCTATTTTGTTGTTGCTGCTGCTGTTGTTGTTGCTGCTGTTTTGCCAGTACCATGATGGTTTCATCTATTTGCCTGTATCTTAGCTTTGTAGTATAATTTCAAGTCTGGGATTGTGATGGCGCTGAATTTTTATTTCCCAGAATTGTTTTTGCTGTTTTAGGTCTCTTCTGGTTTCATATGAATTTTAGGATTGTTTTCTCTAGTGCTGTGAGGAATGCTACTAGCATTTTGTTTGGAATTGCATTAAATCTGTATACAACTTTTGACGTATGGCTTTTTTCAATATATTGGTTCTTCTTATCCAGGAGCATGGGATTTTTTTTTCATTTTCTCGTATTCATTTTGGTCTCTTTTTTGCAGAGTATTTTTTTAGAGTACTTTTTAATGTAAAGGTCTCCACTTGCTTGGTTAGCTGAATTCCTAAGTATTTCATTTTTGTACTATTTTGAAAGGAGTCATTTCCCTAATTTCTGTCTTGGTGACTTTGTTTATGGCACACAGGAATGCTATTGAATTTTGAGTGTTCAGCTTGTATGCAGCTATGCTCGTAAATTTAGTTATTAATTCTAGGAATTCTTTGGTGATTTTTTTTGGTTTCTTCTATGTAAAGGATTACATCTTCAGTGAATAATGATAATTTAATTTCTAGCATTCCTATCCACATCCTTTTTATTTCTCCTGAATAACTACAGTATTGAACAGGAATGGTAAATGTGGCTATCCTTATCTTATTCCTTATTTAGTGTGAAAGCTTTCTGCTTTTCTCCATTTAGGATGATTTTGGATATTATTTTGTTATAAGTGGTTTTTATCAAATTGAAATATAAAGATATGCAATTCTAACTTCCCTTAGGGATTTTATTATGCATGGAGGATGGATTTTGTGAAATGCTTTTTCTGTGACTATTAAAATGATCAGCGGATTTTACTCTTGCTTGTGTCACTGGAGTGCAGTATATTTATTGATCTGCATATATTAAAACATCCTCACATCTCTGACA